GAAGCCTCCTCCTCGACTCCGCGGAGCGTCCAACACCCAGCCCCGCGGGGACACCCTGGGCCCGGGGGCTGCGCTCTCCCAGAGGAGACCCTGGGACATCCTGGGGGCAGCCCGGAGCGCGGCCAGGGGGTTCGTCCGGACGCGTACCTGCGCGTGGGGCGAGAATTGCAGAAGGATGAGCCCGACCCTCGCTCTTCCAGCCCCTAGCCCGCTGCCCACCGCACATTCACTGCCATCCCTCGTTTGAGTGCGGCCCGGGCTCCCACCTAGCGAATCCGCCTCCACCCAGACCCCAGCTCTGCGCCTGTGCGGGCGCCTTCCCCTGCGCTCGCCGCCCTCCTGGTCCTTCCTTCCTTTCTCAGCTCCGCACACACAGCAGCCCGTCTGGGTCCGGGGCGGGGACTGTGATTGCACCCGTGCCCTCTGTGTCCCCTGCGCACGCACCTGCCCCTTTTCCCGTGTGAATCAACTGTTCCACCTGCCTGGTGCCCTGGACTGTGGTGTTGCCCGGGGGAGGAGGTCGTTGTCAGGCCGCCATGAGTGACCCGGGCGCGATGGGTGTTTTATGGATCGGGATCCGCACCGAGACCGGCCTGAGGGAGAGGAGCGAGGTGCGCAGAGAACACCCTGGCCCAGGTGCTGGACTTGGCAGCGCTAGAGCAGGGAGAGACTCGTGCCCTCCCTCCAGCTCCGGCGGCCGGGGCTGGATTCCGTCAGCTAAACCTGGATTAATGAACTGGGCAGTGTTAATAGCTGGGTGGGAAAAACATCCTGAGTAGTCTTCTTTAAACTTTTGGGCACCTGGGCAGCCCCCAGCCGATGAGCTAGGAAATTTAATGACTTAAATCAGGGCTGGCTTCCTGATTTAAGGGGCTGGCTCCATGAGGGCCCTTCCCTTGTGCTACTGTTCCTGTCCCCCGCCCCCTTCTTTGGTACTGGGGATTGAACCCAGGGCCTTAGGGCTGAGCTACATCCACAACTGTTTTATTTTGTATTTTGAGGGTATCTTCCTAAATTGCTAAACTGTCCAGGCTTAGCTTGAATTTATGATCCTCCTCCTGTCTCAGCCTCTCAGAATGTTGGAATTACAGGTGTGCAGTACCCTGACCAGCCCTTGCTTACTCTTCTTCCCCTGGGTTGGGCCCCTGGGAAAGATAAGAAAGAATAAGCAGGTTTGGTGTGATATGTGCTGCGGGTGGGTACTGGAGACTGTCTAGGGCCGGTCCATAGGGCTAGTGACAGTTCTTTGGCTTACCTTGCAGAAAGCTCCTCTTTGGCCATGTCACAGAATGGGTGCCTCGCGGACTCCAGTGAGTACTTCTCAGGTGTGTACACAAAGCTTGGCTGTCTAGGTGACCATACCTGCATGTCATGGCATTGGCCCCATCTGTGGGCCCATGCTGGTGCTGGAATGCCTTTGTCCCCACTTCCAGGCCATGGTGTGGTGAGAGAGACGGCTCACAAGACTGGTCACTGGCAGGTCCTGGGGGTACCATGGTCCAAGGAGGACGGGCGATGGGCACCACTGCTGTTCCCTCCCTTGCTCACTGCTACAATGCCCTGCATATCTGGGTAGCCTTTGGCCAAGGGTTGTGTCTGCCCTCATCTCATCCCTCTAAGGAAACCTAACCTCTTTGGGCATCTGTTGTCCCTGCTTGCACGGGTCTAGCTGTCTCCTCCATGAACCTTGGCTGCCCATCCCCTTCATGCTGCCTGTCCTGTGCCCAGCCCTTTGTGCTGGCCTGTCAAGGGGTTACTCGGCCAGTGCCCTCAGGGTTACATAAGTGGCTGTTATTCACAATGGAGGCCAGGATGTCGCATCCAAGGAGCCCTGCAGGGAGCTGGTGTGCCATCTGGACATGTCCTTAACTAGGGGTCTGAGAGCTGAGCCTAAAAACATGGTAGGCAGAGGGAAAAGATGGGGCCATCTGCCGGGCAACATGGGAGGATTGGGGTGCTGACCAGGGTAGCAGAGGAGCAGGTGGGGCAGGTAGGGGTACCAAAAAAAGTGTATTTAAACAAGGCAGGCTGGAAAAGCCAGGGATGATTTAGCTCAGTGGTTCCACCGCCTACCTCACAAATGCAAAGTCTCAAGTTTGATCCCTGGTACAAAAAAACAAAAACAAAAACAAAAAAACTGTATTTAAACAAGGCAGGCTGGAAAAGCCAGGGATGATTTAGCTCAGTGGTTCCACCGCCTACCTCACAAATGCAAAGTCTCAAGTTTGATCCCTGGTACAAAAAAACAAAAACAAAAACAAAAAAACTGTATGTAAACAAGGCAGGCTGGAAAAGCCAGGGATGATTTAGCTCAGTGGTTCCACCGCCTACCTCACAAATGCAAAGTCTCAAGTTTGATCCCTGGTACAAAAAAACAAAAACAAAAACAAAAAAACTGTATTTAAACAAGGCAGGCTGGAAGGGGGAGGAAGGGTTTTCATGAGCTGAGGGACCAAAGTGAGGACATCTTGTGAGCTAGTAGTTCTCTGGGCTGTGGAATCAGAGCAGACCTAGGGCTGGGGGGGTCACAGTCCCTGAGCTTGGAACATGGGGATGTACAGAGGAAACTGGCTGACTGAGTGGAAATGAGTCAGGGTGAGTCACTGCCTAGCAGGTAGGTGTGCTGCTGACCCCGTTCCTGTCCCTGCGCAGGTTTTGGTCAGGGACTAGTAGGGCCTGGACTACAAGGGCCCCTTTTCCTGGAGTAGCTACAAATGGGGACCATCAGACGTCCCTGAAGAGGTGCCAGCTGGGCCAGGAGAGGCAGGGCTCTGAGATGCTTCCCAGAGGAGGAGGATTCCAAGTGAGCCCTAAAGAAGGCCTGGGTAGGAAGGACGCCTTCGGCTGCTTGGAGGACCCTGACAAGCTTGGGGCGCTGGCTGACTGGGCAGCGTAAGGGATTGAGGTAGGGGCAAGGACTAGGACTGAGCCTGAGGAAGGGATGGGGGGAGCAGCAGGGCTTAGGGAAGAGAGGAGCATTTATTTGCATGTTACCAGGGAGCCTTCCTGTGGGTCTTCACACTAAGCTATGTCCCCAGCCTTATTTATTTTATTTATTTTTTTTTTGTCTTGCTGAGGTGCCCAAGCTGGGCTTGAACTTGTAGTTCTCCTGCCTCAGCCTCCCAAGTAGCTGAGACAATAGGTATGTACAGCCTTACACACAGTGGCACCTATGATTGGCCCAAGGTTGGTGGCATGACATTAGGAAGGGTCAGAACAGTGCAGGGGCCTGATCCCCGGAGCTGGTGTTAGGGAAAGTCTAAGCAGGGGGACTCCTGCTCTACATGCCAGCGGCCACATGGAAAGGGGCTGGGCAGGATGAGCAGTGCTTCCTTGCTGGCTGGGGGCTCCCTCCTGGCCTGTGGGAGGCTCCTCATTTATATAGAGTGGGCCAGCAGGAACTGTGCCTGGGGTTTGGAGCCCCTCCTGGTGCACAGCGCTGACCACTGTGCTCTCTTGGGTCTCTCTTGGTGACAGCTACATCCCTGAGCTACCTCAAGAATGATGGGGACAATGCTTCAGAGGTCCGGGAAGAGAGCCTGGGGGATGAGGTCTTTGACACAGTCAACTCCTCCATCGTGTCTGGCGAGAGCATCCGGTTTTTCGTCAACGTCAACCTTGAGGTGCAGCCCTCTGTATCGGGTAGGGTGTGCTGCAGCAGGGACAGGCTGAGGGAGAAGGGACCCCACTCTACCAAGTGAGCCCTGAGTGCCCTGAGCCTTCTCCCTTCTCTCCAGAAGGTAAAGCGCTATCCGGCTGCGTGCTCCTGCACACATCCCGCAAGGTAAGGAAGGGGCGAGGGCTGGTTGAGGTGGCAGGAGGGAGCTAGCTGCTTCCTGTGGGTCCTTCCTGCTGTCCCTCTCCCCATCCCCCCAGGATGACAGGGACTTCAGGCCAGCCCCAGGCTGAGCCTTCTGTCTTGGAAAGGAATCTTCATTCTGATGGGCAGGGGCCAAAGGGCACTGTGGAGGAGCGGGGCCCGGGAAGAGCAGCAGTCTCATTCCTGGGCCTGTGTGGTTCTGGGCCTGGGGATCCCGCAGTACCTGAAATTAAAGAACTTCGGGGAAGAGATCCGTGCACACCGGGACCTGGATGGATTCCTGGCCCAGGCCAGCATCATCCTGAATGAAACAGCCACCTCCTTGGATGATGTGCTACGCACCATGCTGAACCGCTTTGCCCAGGACCCCAACCACACGGAACCAGACTGCAACTTGGACCTAATCATGGCCAAGCTATTCACGGATGCAGGGGGCCCCACGGAGAGTAAAGGTACAACCCATCTTCCTGCCCTGGCAAGGAGGTCTGGGGGAGCAGCTGACCCTCCCCTCTTCCTCCATTCCTTCCTCAGTGCACCTGCTGTCAGATACCATCCAAGGGATCACGGCCACGGTCAGAGGGGTGCAGTATCAGCAGTCATGGCTCTGCATCATGTGAGTTGCCAGGCCATCCCGAAAGCCGTCACACTGGTGCTCTGTCTCCTGTCCCTCCTGTGGGTGCCCATGAGTGACCCAGCTCTGGCGACACCCAGTTTGGGAGGACAGGATCCATTGTGCCACCCTTTTGGTCTCTTCTCTCCCCAGTAGAAGTCACCAGGGGCCAAAGTCAGGGTTTGGGGGGTGGGCAGCTCCTGAGGGTGGCAACTCTGTCCTGTGCACCTACCTGTCCCTGCCAGCTGTACCATGAAAGCCCTACAGAAGCGGCACGTGTGTATCAGCCGCCTGGTTCGCCCACAGAACTGGGGAGAAAACTCCTGTGAGGTTCGGTTCGTCATCCTGGTGCTGGCCCCACCCAAGATGGTGAGTGCAGGTCCTGAGGTTCCGGGGGCTGGACTGCCCTGACCCCTTCTCTAAAGTGTTTCTTTTTCTTTTTCTTTCTTTTTCTTTTTTTTTTTTTTTTGTGGTACCGGGGATCGAACTTGGGTCCTTGCGCTTGTGAGGCAGACCACCGAACCGCTGAGCTAAATCCCCGGCCCTGTAAAGTGTTTCTGAAGGCCTCCGCTCTTCTCTTTCCTCTCGCTCCATGGTGCTTTCTCAGACACTTCCTTGCCAGGTCCCTGTTACACACAAATTCCCCAGAGTTGCCCAAAATGTTGTCTTTCATCTGAGAAGAGATGCTTTTTCCGTTACTATGATTCAAACATCATAGCCTTTCTTCAGCCTGGTCTCGCCCACCCTACACTTTGTCCTAGTTGACTGACTTTAAGATTTGCTGGCCAGCAATCCCCACTCTTTCTCGGGCTGTACACTGTTCAGTCAGGAAACCTTGCCTTTGTAGAGATCGAAGAAGCTAGTGTAATTTGGGGAGTCTCGCAATAAGGAAGGATTTTGAAATCCTGACTAGAGGATTATGAGGCCCCCTCCGTAGGCCTTAGAAGAGCTTTAATGTGTAAACTTCCATGAGCATTTTGGGGAAGTGTTGGCATGAGCATTTTGGGGAAGTGTTGGGAACTGAACGCAGGATCTAGTGCATAGGCCAGCCCTCTACCCGAGCCACACCCTTGCCCTCCATTAGCTGGCTCCTTCCCTTCTCCCCCTCCCTTCTTTCCTGTCTATTTTTTTGTATTAGAGATTGAACTTGGGACCACACTTTCAAGATAGGCAGTGGGACCACTGAGCTATATCCCCCGCCCTCTTTCTTTTCTTGGTACTGGGGGTCGAACCCAGAGCTTTTGCACTGAGCTACATCCCCACCCCCTTTACTTTTTATTTTGAGACAGGGTCTCGCTAAGTCTCTTAAGTTACCCAGGGTGGACTCAGACTTGCGATTCTCTTGCCTCAGCTTCCCAGAGTGTTGGGATTACAGAGCTGTGCCACAACACCCATTAGCTTTTTGATGATTCTGTCTCTGCCTCTGGCACAGGCAAATGGAGTACTAAGAAAACGTCCTTCCCGAGGGTCTTACAGACATGCTGTCTGCAAGGGTACCAGGGAGAAAGGACAGCTCACGGTGACAGGAGTGCCAGCTGACTGGGTGTCCAGAACAGTGAAAGGAGCGATAGACTACAGGCTGGGTGCCTTGGAACAGGTCTACCAGCCTGGACACTGGGCTCCTCCCTAGGGACACAGGCTGTCCTGCAGCTCAGGACGCAGAGCCCTTGGATGACAGCTCTGAGCATGACCGAGGGGCAGGTGCTGCCCCAAGGTACCTACCTGGGCTGTGACATGAGCAGGTTGCTAAACTTGACACTTGAGTTCATGGTTCATGGACATGTTGACTTGGCCAACAAGCAAGAGTTCAGGTACAATGAGCCTGGACCCCCTTTGAAAGTCAAATAAACCAGCAGATCGTGCAAATACCACTGGGGAGACATGGCTGTTTCGGGTAATGTTTTTCTCTATTTTGATTTCACATCAGTCGTCCGACTTTTTTTTGTATGTGTGTATGTGAGTGGTGCTGGGGATCGAACAGAGCCTTGTACATGCTAGGCAAGTGCTCTATCACTAGCTATATCCCCAGCCCCATCAAATTGTGTGGCTTAGAACAACTAGTATCTTAGGAGGGGGTGAAGGGAGGGCAGAGGTAAGGGGAAAAAAATGAGAATCAAGACTTGCCATGTAAAGGTACATGATCCCAACAATGAATGTAACTGTACTGTATCCCTAAATGTACCAATAAACTCAATAAAAAAAAAAAAAAAGAACAACTAGTATCTTAATGTATTTCAAACAGTATTATATCAGACGTAATAACATGTAACACATAACGCAGGCTTGTACTCTCCTAGTGCTTGGGAGTCTGAAGCAGGAGGATCACTGTGAGTTCAAGACCACCCTGGGCTATCGTATAGTGAGTTCAAGTTCAGTGTGCACTACATAGTGAGATGCTTTTTTTTTTTTTTTTTAACCAGGGATTGAACTCAGGACCTTGCACTTGCAAAGCAGGCACGGTGCCACTGAGTTCAATCCCTGTCCCGTGAGACCCTATTTTAAAAGAAGGCTGGGGACTTAGCTCAGTGGTGCCACCACCTGCCTTGCAAGTGCAAGGTCCTGAGTTCGATCCCCGGTACAAAATAAAGAAAAATATTACATTGGCAGTTGTTCTGTGATCTGCTGAGCTAGCGGAGATGGGGGCCAGTGTACGCAGTGCCTGAACTTTGGGAAACATTGCCAGCTCCCAGGAGAGCCTCTGCCGCCTTCTGGGGGATGGTACTATGCTTCCCAAGGGCAGAGTACTCTGCCTACAAGGGTGCAGATACAATCTCCAGCTTCCACCTCCAGAAAAGCACCAAGACTGCAATGGAGGTGGCGCGCACATTTGCCACCATGTTTTCGGACATCACCTTCCGCCAGAAGCTCCTGAAGACCCGCACAGAGGAAGAATTCAAGGAGGCCTTGGTACATCAGAGACAGCTGCTCACCATGACAATACCAAGAGCAAACGGACACGGCAGAGGCTCCTCCCATGCCCACAGACACCCGCAGGTACAAGGCAGAGGTGGGCACAGGCAAGAGGAGCCTGAGCAGCCAGGGCTCACAAGTGCTGTCTTTTCTCCCAGCCCCCAAAATGCAAGGACTTTATCCCTTTCGGGAGGGGCATCCGGGAAGACATCATGCGCAGGTTTCCTGTGTACCCGTTGGACTTCACTGATGGTATGAGGCCCTGTGGCCCACCCAGCACTCAGCCTTTCAGGCCTCAGGACCACATGCATCTGTCCTGCCTTCCCAACAGTCCCTCTTGCCCCATTCCCTTTTCCTAGGCATTATCGGGAAAAGCAAGGCTGTGGGCAAATACATAACCACCACCCTATTCCTCTACTTCGCCTGCCTCCTGCCCACAATTGCTTTTGGATCCCTGAATGATGAGAACACAAACGGGGCCATCGGTGAGGGCCTGGGGCCTGGAAGGGCTGTGCTGGGCAGGGCCATGGTGCCCACCGTGCCCACCTGACCTTCCAGCTCTGCAGATGTGCAGAAGACCATAGCAGGCCAGAGTATCGGAGGCCTCTTATATGGGATCTTCTCCGGGCAGCCGCTGGTGATTCTGCTGACGACTGCACCCCTGGCCATCTACACTCAGGGTGCCGTGGGGATTGAGACGGGAGATGGTGCCTGAGGCTCTGAGTCCCCACCTGGGACCTGACCGTGTGTCCGGTTCACAGTGATCCGTGTCATCTGTGATGACTACAACCTGGACTTCAATGCCTTCTACGCCTGGACAGGCCTGTGGAACAGTTTCTTCCTTGCTCTCTATGCCTTCTTCAACCTCAGCCTGGTCATGAGTCTCTTCAAGAGGTGACTGGTCCTTTCTGGGTCATGGGGACCCTCCAGGCTGGGGGTCTGGTCAGCTGCATGCCAGCCTCCAAGGACCTGGAACCCTGGGAAGATGGGGTACCCCCACTGTATCCTGCACCAAGAGGCTGCAGTGGTCCTCTTTTTTAGGGGTGGGGCACAGAGGCTCAGGGAACCTCACCCCCAACAGCACACCCATCTCACGAGGCACGTCACCTCCTGGCAGGTCAACAGAGGAAATTATTGCCCTGTTCATTTCCATCACATTCGTGCTGGATGCTGTCAAGGGCATGGTCAAAAGTGAGTGCAGAGCTGCTGACCACTTGCTACAGAGGGAGCTGAGCTGGGTTGCAGAACTCTGGGCTGGGGTCTGACGGGGGAAGACAGGAATCAACCTTAGCTGAGAGGGCTGCCCCAGGCAGGATCAGACATGACGGGAGAGGAACCGAGCCGAGTGAAGGGGTTTCAGAGCTGGAAACGGGTGTTAGAGGGGCTGTGGGGTGGTGGGTGGGATGGACAGGTCAGTGAGGTCCTGATAGACAAGGCCAATTTCCCCCACTTCTTCCTTCCCCACCCCTCAAGCCCTCTCATCCCCTTGGGCCTCTCCCTCCTTCCCCTCCCTGGGGACCTCTCTGAGCTCAGAAGGCTGAGGCCTGTTGGTCTCCTCTACAGTCTTCTGGAAGTACTACTACGGTTACCACCACACAAGGAGGCCAGGCAGCAGCCTCAATCCCGGCATCCACACCGCCTTCAACACCAATCTCCTGGCTGGTCCCACCGAGCTGGACACCTCAAGCGGCCCAGGCGCTGTGCACTCTGGCCAGGCAACTGCAGTGCTCAGCCTCCTCATCATGCTGGGCACACTCTGGCTGAGCTACACCCTCTACCAGTTCAAGAAGAGGTGAGATGGCCCAGGGTCCAGGGAGGAACTGCACGGCTCTCCAGCCACACTGACTCACCTGCCGTCCACAGCCCCTACCTGCACCCGTACGTGCGCGAGATCCTGTCCGACTGTGCCCTGCCCATTGCAGTGCTTACCTTCTCCCTCCTCAGCTCCTATGGCTTCCAGGAAATTGAGAGTGAGTTGGGACCCGTGGGTGGTTTGCAGGGGTCACATTTGTTCCCTGGGGGCTCCTGGCCGAGCAGGTGCTTGTCCCCTACTGCAGTGAGCAGGTTTCGCTACAACCCCAGCGAGAACCTATTTGAGGTGGCACAGATGGACTCGCTGTCCCTGGGAGCCATCGGCAGTGCCATGGTCCTTGGTTTCCTGCTCTCCCTGCTTTTCTTCATTGAGCAGAACCTGGTGGCTGCCTTGGTCAATGCACCAGAGAACAGGTATGGGGGCAGAGGAGGGTAGGGTTAGCAAGTGCCCAGCACCCCGAGAGCCAGTGGGGCTCTGTCCACGTGCGTCTGTGCTGCAGGCTGGTGAAAGGCACTGCCTACCACTGGGACCTCCTGCTCCTCGCCGTCATCAACACGGGGCTGTCCCTGTTTGGGCTGCCCTGGATCCACGCCGCCTACCCCCATTCTCCTCTGCATGTGCGGGCCCTGGCTTTGGTGGAAGAGCGGGTGGAGAACGGGCACATCTATGAGACGTGAGTGTGACAGTGAAAGTGGGGACCCGGGGCAAAGCTGTGTGGACCAGCACTGGGGGGAGGGCTGTACGTGACCCAGAAAGGGTGTGGCTTAGGGGACAAGGGTCCAGAGGTGATGGAGCCATGGGACTACACGTGGCTCCCTGCTCCTGGCGCTGCAGGATTGTGAACGTGAAGGAGACGCGGTTGACGTCGCTGGGCGCCAGCGTGCTAGTGGGTCTGTCCCTGCTGCTGCTGCCTTTCCCACTGCAGAGGATCCCCAAGCCCGTGCTCTATGGCCTCTTCCTCTACATCGCGCTTACCTCTCTGGATGGCAACCAGCTCTTCTCTCGTGTGGCCCTGCTGCTCAAGGAGCAGGTGGGTGCCTGCCCAGGGGGGTGGGCGGGACGGGGCACGCAGCTGTCCCTGCCCACACCTGGTAACTGCCACCTGCAGACATCATATCCACCCACACACTACGTTCGGAGAGTGCCGCAGAGGAAGATCCACTACTTCACAGGCCTGCAGGTCCTGCAGCTGCTGCTGCTCTGCACCTTCGGCATGAGCACCCTGCCCTACATGAAGATGATCTTCCCCCTCATCATGATCCTCATGATTCCCATCCGGTACGGGCAGACAGGAAGGGCAGCCCAGGGATGAGGTGTGGGCTGTGCCGGATGCCTGCCGCCTCTGACCACTCACAGCTCACGTGCACACCTCTCTCCCTCCTGTCCAGCTATATTCTGCTGCCCCGAATCATTGAAGCCAAGTACCTGGACGCCATGGATGCTGAGCACTGGTCCTGACCAGCTTGACCTGGCCACCTTTGCTGCCTTCCTCTCCTCCCAGGCCCTACTGGGACTGTGTGGGAGGTGTGGATGCCTGGGCCCTTGCGGTGGACGGTGTTCTCACAGGCCCTGCCCCCTGGGCATTGTGAGGGTTCAGTGCTGTGTGCTTCCCTCTGCACGTTAGCCATCAGCCTTAGTTCAGGAACACGGCTCAGGGCAGTTCTGTCCAGAGTGGGGCTAAACAGGATGGGTTTTCTTTTGATAAGAGTCAATTTCAGGAGAGAAGCCATTTCCTTGATTGTGTAAGGACCCCACTGTGGTCACACTAGAGAATAAAGCTCCTGTTTCTATGCTTCTCCGTGTCGCCCTCATCCCAGGGGAACTAGAATGAGGGACTGATGTGTACTCAGGGGCACTTGTGCGTGGTTGTTGCACTTTACCCAGCGGACCCTGCAAAATGTAACCCCGCACAGTGGGCATTCGACAGTCAGGAGGGTGGCCTCTGTGCTGTTTTGAGAGACAGGGCTGGAGCCCAGTGAGGTGCTGTGGCGGGGGTCACAGGCACACTGCATGGGGCAATGACTGATGGCGGGACCAGGGGAAGAGGGAGAGCGGCAGAGGCATGTGGGGACTGGTTAGTGAAAGGGTGAAGGTTCCACACTGGGTCAGGGTCTGTGACAGTAGCAGCCAGAGCAGAAATTCAGATCTGGGGCTCGGAGTGCTCCTGTGTGCATCCAGGAGCAGCAGAGATGGCAGACAGAACAGCTGGCTTACTCTGGGTTGACATGTCCCACGGAATAAGATATTTTGGATTAAGGTAGAGGATTCTCTACACTCAACACAGAAAAGAGACTAATATCCTAATATCTAAAGTATGCAAAGAATTCTTGGAAACCAACAAGAATAAAACCACAACTTTAGAGGCAATGGCTTCAAATGGGAAGAGGGAGCCCAAAAAGCTAACCGGAAAGGAGATGCTCACACTCCTTGGTAGGGCTGGGGTGTGGGTCAGTAGAAGAGCACTTGTCTAGTATGCACAAGGTCCTGGGTTTGATCCCAACACCGCAAAAGACAAAGGCAAAAATCACCCTGCAATGAACATATCTGTTATGTTTTGCAACATATGCTTAAAAAAAAAAAGACACAAAAAACAAATACCTTCATAATCAGATAAAGGAAGAGGTATCACTTTACCCTGGATGGACTGGCAAAAGTCAGAGGCTTGTACTACAGTGAAAGGTAGGGCCCTAGGGCCAGGGATGTAGCTCAGGGGTGCTGCGCCTGCCTGGCAAGCAGGAGATCCTGAGTTTAATTCTGGTACCAAAAAAAAAAGAAAGAAAAAAGGGCCCTAGGGTCTTCTGTTCAGATGCAGAGCAGGGAGATGGGTGTAATTTTGCTCTAACATAGGGGTGGAGGTGAGAGATGGGTAGTGAAAGTCAAAAGAGGAGACGGGCCAGGGTTTAGCTCAGGGGGGCTGCAAAGACGCAGTATGCACCCAAGACAGAGCTCAGAAAGAAGCCAAGCTGTAAACACAGCTGCCCCAAGACCCGTGTGCCCACTCTATCCACCTGGCACATGACTGTTTGGAGGGCCCTTCCTCAGCGGTCTGGCCATTCATTCTCTGCAAGTGGGGCCATCTCCAGAGACAGGCAGAGAGCAGGCAGACCTCATGCTCCCAGCAAGACCACTCAGGAGGCTGGGCTGGTGCGGGCACTTCCTGGGGAGCCACCCAGTTGGGCCAGGCAGGCAAGAGGAGAGCAAAGGAATCATGTTCTGTCCTTAATGCAATGCCCTGGGTGAGGGAAGACCATTCTGAGGAGGGCTGAAGCCAAGCGTCACTTCACCAAGACTGAGAGCAAGGACTCCTCAGAGCTGCCTGGGAGCATAAAGGTCAGCTTGGGAGTGGCAGCAGCATGAGAGGCCCCTGCCCTAACCTGTCTTCCGTCCTGATCCATTTTTCTCAATGTCCATGGGGTTGTGCACCCTTCCTTACCAGAGAATGGCCTTTCTTTAGTAATGCAACCCCCATCCAGCAAAGGCCACAAAGGCCAGTAGCAAGTAAGGTGGTAGCATCACCTGAAGGTTAAGTGCAAAGCTAGCACAGAAAGAGGACTTGGAGAACGAGAGGAAAGCATTCAGCATGGATGTAATACGTCAGCCAGCAAGGGCAAGCGAACACCCTTGACATAGATAGCACTGCCCTTGTCCCATCCTCCCACCTCACCCCCACCCAAAGCGGACAGACAGCAGCCTGAGGCAAGGTTCAAAGCTAACATCCAGTTTATTTTGGAAACAAGTTCCTTCCGGAATTTTTACTTGCTGTATTTTAAAAACATCTAAGGCTGTTTACCCAGTTCTTCCCCAAACCTTCAATCCTGTCTTTTTTTTGGAGGGGAAACAGGGTCTTAATGTGTAATTCAGGCTGGCCTTGCACTTGCAGCAGTCCTCCTGCCTCAGCCTCCCTAGTGCTGGGATTACAGGTGTGCACCACAATGCCCAGCTCCAAGACTGGTTTTATCACTTAAGGTCCTCTCAGGATCCAGACCTAGAGATTCTAGGAGTAATCACTGAATCCCCAAGGACAAGACTGGTGTCAGCCTGCCCAGAGTGTCTGTGAACGAAGCCATGGGCTCTTCGAGGCTCTGGAAAAGCTGCCTCCACACCCCAGTGAATGGCTGATGGAGGCACTGAGGTGTCAACCTGACCGGAGAAGCTCCCAGCTAGCTTTCTCCAGATCCCCGGCCTGAGGCATCTTCTCCATTCCCAGGAGTCAGGCTGCCAAAGTACTGCTGCAGCTCAAGCAGGGCCCGGAAGCGATGGGAGATGGCATTCTTCTCTGCCTTGGGCATCTCAGCATACCTGAGGGGGTCACACCAGCATCTCAGAACAGGGGTCCCAGATCCCAGGAGGATGTGTACTCCAGCCCAGTCCTACAGCCAAAGCTCAGGGGCCTCAGGAAAGAAGTGTAGGGGCCATGGGCTCTAGGCAACTATTTAATTTTTTTTTTTAATTTTGACAACTTAAAATTCATCTTTAGGGCTGGAGATTTAGCTCAGTGATTCTGCTGCCTGCCTCACAAGTACAAGGTCCCGAGTTCAATCCCTGGTACCAAAACAAACAAACGAACAAATAAAATTCATCTTTAGATAGAAAATATATGAATAAGCACCAAGGGATAGCAAAACCTGCTGCACCACCTTCAAAAGTTAAGGGAAGCTGGGGACCGGGATGAACCACGTGTTTGTTCACCTTTGTCATCTGCGGACAGGAAGCACTGAGGCCTGGCAGCAAACACAGCAGCCTCTTCTAATGCACAGGGGTTGGGGGGCACTGGCCGACAGCTGCCCAAGAGCCCAATCTCCATGCCAGAACTCTAGTGAGGTGACAGTCCATCCCACCTGGGGTTCACACCCTCACAGTCCAATACAGTAGCCACTGTCCCATAATGCTGTTAAGTTCATCACACCAAATAAAAATGAACTCTGTTCCTTGGCTAGTTCCATTTGGGTGCCATGACCACACAGGAAGAACGCTTCTTTTTTTCTCTTTTCTTGAGACAGAGTCTTACTGTGTAGTTCAGGCTGGCCTTGAACTCACTATGTGCCCTGGCTGGTGCCGAACTCATGGTGATACTCCTGCCTCAGCATCTCAAGTGCTGGGATTACAGGTGTGCACCACCATACGCAGCAAGAAAGCATTTTTAAGTGTCACTGAAGATCATTCCTGGACAGTGCTATTTTGTTTTGTTTCTTTTTTTGGTACCGGGGACCAAACTTGGGTCCTTGTGCTTGTGAGGCAGGAGGTGGAACCACTGAGCTAAATCCCCAGCACTTTTTTTCCAGTACTGGGGATCAAACTTGGACCCTTGAGCTTGTGACGCAGGTGGCAGAACCACTGAGCCAAATCCCCGGCGCTGGACAGTGCTGTTTCACAATGTCTTCTGCCCTGTATGGCTACTGTGAGGCCCTGGGCTATGGTTCTTAGGGGTCTCTCCAGCCAAGAAGCCTGACTCACATAAACAAGAGGGGTTAATCATGAAGTTCTGAGAATACCCAGTACTGTGAGGTGGAAGGTACCCACTAGAGGCCACAAAAGTATGAACAATTTGCCAAAGTTGATAAAACGGGTCAGAGAATCATCTCCCAAAACTGTTGGATTTGTACATGCTGATAAGCCAAGGCCAGGGGGAAGTCACTGCTTACATTGCTGGTCTGAGGGGAGCTACAGCCAGAGCCCAGGATGCCCAGCTCCACCTGCCATGGACAGACTCACCCAGATTCCTGAGTGCACCCAGCAGAGCTGAAAACGGCACCCTTGGAACCCACCCCACCCATATCCATGTACCCATTCTAGGGCAAGACACCCATCCAACCCATGCCCCAGGGAAAAAATTGGGGTTCCTTACGTCTGTTTGTATCCATCAGGCTGAAAGCAGGGGTCCCAGCCGAAGTCCTGGCAGCCTCGGGGAGCTACAATCTGGCCCTGCCACAGGAAAGGGGGACAGGTACATGACTGGGCACTAGGAGGGTGGTTTGAGTTAAGGCTAGTCTGTGAGTTTGATTAAATTGGATAGTTGAAGGAATTCATAGGGCTTACAGGTGTTTGCTGAACATATAAGCAAAATACAGAGCAGGGCTGGGCACTGTGTGCATGCCTATAATCCCAGAACTCTGGGACAGTGAAGCAGGAGAATCAAAAGTCCAAACACAGGGCCAGGGATTTAGCTCAGTGGTTCTGACATCTGCCTCGCAAACGCAAGGGCAAGTTCGATCCCTGGTACCCCCACCCCCAACCCCGACAAAAAAAAAAAAAGGCCCAAGCACAGAAGCCAGGCATGGTGGAGCACATCTGTAATCCTAGCACGTGGGAGGCTGAGGCAGGAGTATCACTGTGAGTTCGAGGCCAGCCTGGGCTACATTGTGAGTTTGAGGCTATCCTGAACTAGTGAAACATTGTCTCAAAAAAACAAACAAACAAAAAAAAAGTCCAAGCACAGCCTGGGTAATTTAGCAACCTAGTGAAACCCTGTCTCAAAATTTTAAAAAATTAAAAAGGACTGGGGCTGTAGCTCAGGGTTAAGGTCTTGGATTCAATCCCCCCTGCCAAAAAAATTCAGGACATACAGGGAGGAACCGACTATGAACTTGATTGGTCCACCAAAACCTCTAGGGCACCCTCCCTCTTTAATGATATCTGACAAACTGTGACCTCACTCAAGAAAAATGACCTGACTTTGAAAAAGTGACAGAAAACATTTTCTCTTAACAGGGTGTAAGGGCCCAGAATTCCATGAATAAGCCCTATGCTTACACTACTCTTCAAAACACAAGGGTGGGGCCATACGTGGTGGCACATGCATGTAATATCAGCACTCAGGAGGCTGAGGCAGGAGGATTACCTTGAGCTCACAGCCAACATTGGGCTACACAGTGAGTTCAAGCCCAGCCTGAACTACATAGCAAGAGACTGTCTCAAAAACCAAAACCAAAACCAAACCAAAAGACAAAACAACTCCAAGAGTGGTGGTGGACAATGGCCAAGTCATGCAGAGCCAAAAGCACATTCCACTTCTGCTAGTAGGGAGCTGTGTGACCACAGGTAGTTTCTAAACTACTCTGAGCCTCACTCATTCGACAAATGTTTTCTGAGCGACGACAGTGGGCCAGGTAGTGTTCTCAGCCCTAAAGTCCCAGCAAACCTAGCCTGCTCCTCCTACAATGGATGTCAGAGCCCAGCAGACATGACACTGGTAAACAAATTAATGATCGCCAAACACAAAGTTCCTTAAAGGGGACCACAGGTGCTGTGCTCCAGGACTGCAAGACACAATGCCTTCAGGCTGACTTAGTCAGGGAGCCCAGTGACTCTGGCCACGTACAGGGATGCAGCAAGAACATTTCAGACACTAGTTGCAGCTGGTGTGAAGATTCTGAAATGGGCAGGGTGTGGCATGTGTGAGCTGCTGAAAGGACAATGTGTCCAGTGTGCCAGTGTGGCCAATGAGTACCCAGGTGAAAAAAGGACAAGATGAACAAACAAGGCCACCTCAGAGGGGATGGGGACTGGCATACAACCAGGGCAAGCACAAGAGCTGGGACAACAGGGCACGGTAGGGGCCCAGTGACACAGGTGCTGTCACAGGGAGGCTGCAGTCACTCCAGAGCTAAGTGGGCATTTCTGGGAAAGCAGTAAACAACTACAAGTAATCTTCAACAATTTAACCAGGCAACATGACCTGGCAACCCTGCTCCTGGATATCTGTCCTCAAAAAATGAAAAAAAAAGGGGCTGGGATTTAGCTCAGCGGTTTGGTGGCCTGCCTTGCAAGCGCAAGGACCCGAGTTCAATCCCCGGTACCAAAAAAAAAAAAATCTTGACTGTGGTTGTATATTATGGCCAAGAGGTGGAAGCAATCTAAAGGTCATTGACAGATAATAAACAAATATATTCTATGCATACAACAGAATATTCTTGAGCCTTAAAATCACAGGAAACTATTGTGTTACAATATGGATGGAGCTTGAGAACATTATGCAAAGTGGAATAAACCAGTCGCAAAAAGACACATATTGTGTTACTCTACTTTTATGTAGGATCTGAAGCAGTGAAACCCTCAGAAGGAGAATCAGAATGGTGGTTGCTAGAGGCTGGACGCAGGGAGGAAAGGAAAGTTGTTCAATGGGTAGTTTCAGATTTTTCAAAATCAAAATATTCGGGAGATCTACTGTCCAAAAGTGTGAATATTCTCTTTCTCCCTCTCTCTTTTTTTTTTTTTTTGGTACTGGGGATCAAACTCAGGTCCCTGTGCAAGCAAGGCAGGAGGTGGAACCACTAAGCTAAATTCCTGGCCCTTTCTTAAAAATATTCTGAGCACTACTGTACGGCACATATAAAAATGGTGAAGATGGTAAATTTTGTAGTATTTTTTTTAACCACCATTAAAAAAATTTAACCAGGCAGAGTAACATGAAATATCTGTGCAGAGTCCCCAGAGGAACACTGGATTTGACTCTGGTAGGAAGAACTGAGCAGTGACAGTCCAGAAGCGAAGCAGCTGGGAAGGTCTGGTCCCTGAGAAAAGCAGCCAATTCTGAGGGCCTAACAGGGTGTGCTGAATGGTAACTGGGAAACGAATGAGCTTGGGTGAAAAATTAAAATACTAGGTGTAGGTATAGCTCAGTGGTAAAGCGCTTGATTAACATTATAAGACCTTGGGCTTGATCTCCAACACCATCACCAAAAAGCAATAAAATAATAATAATAATAATAATAATAATAATAATAATAATA